AAGGGGCTGTGGGAGCAATGAGCATATGAGCAACACAAGAGATGATGAATGAAACAGTGATCAAAAGTACATTTTTCTTAAAATCCAATGAATAATCCCAACTCATCTCTCACCTCCATCTTCCATCTAAAATCCAATGGTTATAACTACAAAAATCCTTAATCTTAAACCTTCCTTCTTCGTCTCGATACCTCACGTCCACTTTGTTGGTATATATAGTAATTATCAACTTTGTAAACCATTTCTTTAACCCTCATGTCTTTAGAATCACTCTTGTTCGAATGAGGTTTTTGTTCATAATCACACGAAAAGATTGGATTTTGGGGTTCTGGGTATGGCTGAATTCTTGATCTAACATCAGAAAGCTTATGGTGTGACTTTTTTAGTGATCAAAACATTGAGATCTGTGTTGATAGCAAAAGAAGTATGGCAGGATTTAGGTTTTCCTTTTCTTTCTTGGACATATATATCCATACATTTTGAACTTGTACCCATTCTCGGTTAGAATTTTCGTACTTTTAAAATAATTTGTGTAATTTGTCTGGTTGGGATGTGGGCACGTAGGGATCTTGAATACCTTAAATAATGATGCATATCTTCATAGACATCAAATCTTTTAAACAAATTCGAAAAGTAAAACGTTACAAACTTTAACCTAATATGATAATAACGTCCGATTATAAAAGTTGATTCAACTCATTTCTCGAAAGAATTTAAGGGAACAAAAGGAAAACATTGAGGGAAACAAGAGGGTAATTAGGGTTTGTTTTGGTTGTTGTTGATGTTGTTCTCAAGACAGCACGAGTGTGTGTGTAAGAAAGAATAGGAAGAGAAATTAAGGGTTTTGGTTGACAAATGAAAAGAGATTGAGTTCCAATGAGGTTGTCTTGTTTTGAAGGTTTCAAGACAGACATTGTCTGCGTGGCGTCTGCAAATTTTACAAATCCCCAGAATATCTATGTGCCATACAGATCATATCATCATAATGCATTAAATTCATATGTTTTTTTTTTCTTGATTATTATCATTATTATTGTTATGTCAAATCTGTTGTAGATTTTTTGAACAGCGTTTGGGTGGACAAATGGGCATTATTAATGCTTCCCATTCCTTTCTTCATTCAAATTGTTCTTGAAACATTTAAGAAGAAGAAGAAGAAGAAGAGAATAAAACAATGGCTAATCATTGAGAACCACTGTTCACAAACAGAAGTGATATCAACTTCAAAATTAAGGCACTCTTTGGCTCAGATCAGGCTGTGTGGGTAGCTTCTTCTGCACAACGAGCAAAAGGGAGTGCTACCAGCTGACATCAAACACTCATAATAATCATAATAATAATGCCTCCGCAGCTGGCCCCATCTGAATGCATAATTTAAACAACAACTTGAGAAGTGGACAATTCATATACTGTCATTGGTGCTGATTTGAAGGCAAAGATCTTTGTTTCATTGAGTAAAATGTTGGGTTCTTCTTTGATTCATTTGGTTGTTTTGCTTGTGTTCTTGATTTGATTGTGAACTTAGCCATAAGTTGTTAGTGAATGGGCTAAGAACATGAAATTAGTGTAGTAATGCAATGGTACGTGTGGGTATCTAGTAGGGTATTGACAACGCTTACTTGTCTTCTTTAATCAGTTTCGATGTGACATCTATGTTTCACATCATTTGAAAGGAGTTGGCTTTGCATAATTGTGGGAATAATCGTCCTTCTCTTGAGTTTGCATGTGATTTGGATCTTTGGTGGCCTTTGCTAACTTCTTATGATCTGCTATTTCTTGTCATTTTCTTCATCTTCTTCATAATCAATTGGTCGTGAGAGTGTGTTGACGTGACCACGCTACTTTAAGGAGTGATATTCACTGATGTTATCTTTGACCCAATTTAGTTAACATAGAGAATAGCTTTTCGGTCCTTCTGAATGAAGATTCTCCACTCGATGATCAACCCAATGGAACCCACCATCCATTATTGGATTGGATTGGATTATGAACGAAGATTCTCCACTCGATGACCCAACCCAATTGAACCCACTAACCATTACTAGGTTGGATTATGAACAAGATTCTCCACTTGATGACCCAACTCAATCCAACCCTCCAACCCTCCAACCATTACTGGATTCTGAACAAAGATTTTCCACTCAATGACCCAACCCAATTGAACCCACCAACCATTACTGGGTTGGATTCTGAACGAAGATTTTTCCACTCAATGATCCAACCCAATCGAACCCACCAACCATTACTGGGTTGGATTGAAGATTCTCCCCTCTATGACCTGACCCAACTCAATCAAACCCATCATCCTTTACTGGGTTGGATTGTGAATGAATATTCTCTACTCGATGGCCCAACCCAATTGAACCCATCATCCATTAATGGGTTGGATTCGGGTTATAAACCCTATCCAGTTCATTTGAGTAGGTAATTGGAACAACGCACAATACCCAATTTAGCCCTATTTTGATGGCATCCAACAAACAAATCAAAGCCCACCAACAAAATCGCGCTCTCTCCTCTCCCTAACAGCTTTGGCCTAAAAATATCAGGAAACAAACCCTATAAAACGCTTCCCCCATCTCCCATATTCCTCAGACCCGCTCATTTCAACCTCATTGTGCAAACAAAAGAAGATCCCAACAGCTTGTTCTAAGCGGGTCTCTCTTTCTTTGCAAACCTTTCCTTTCCTTTCCTTTCCTTTCAATAACATACCCTTTTCTTTCCCTCTTTTCGTCTACCCCTCATCGCCATGGCCATCAACAAGCTTACCTGCGCCCTCCTCTTCGCTGCTGCCACCGTGAGCGCGGTTGTGGCCTCCGCTGAAGCCCCAGCTCTGGCCCCTGGCCCCTCCTCCGATGCGGCTGCTGCTGCTGTGCCTGCTGTTGGAGCGTTCATTGGCGCTTCTGTTGCGACCTTGTTTGCGTACTACTTGTAAGAAGGTGAGTGAGGGAATGAGGAGAGAATAGGAGGGCCCTTGGGGAGCGATGAAGGGAGATTATGTAACATGGAAACAGAGAAACTTGTAAAGGGTTTTGAGGAAAAAAATGTGCTTATTTGTTTGATTATTTAACAACAATTTTTTTCTTTTGAATTATTTATGTTCGTATGCTCAATTCCAATATCTATGCTATCATCTTCTTTATATTCCTTCAATTAAAAAGAAACATTCAAATTATTAATCCATAAAATACCAAATCATAAAATTCAAGTTACTTCATAACTTCTACATGATTGCAATGCAATTGATGATCGAGATTATTCTGAAAGCATTTATTTCATAGAAATCTTGAGGGCATTGGTCCTAGCAGCATCTTTTGCTCGTGATCTTTTAACCAAGCCCACACTAGCAGATGTTATCCACTTTGACCCGTCTCTTACGTATCACCAGCCTCATGGTTTCAATATTTTCAAAATTAAATATTGAGTTTAAGTTTTTGTTTACCGGCGCCTGACCTTGGGATGTGCTCAGCCACATGAATAGTTCGATGTGTTTGAACCATGGTTTGAAACCAAAGTTCTCCTCAATTTAGGTGAGATCCAATAAAATAAATCTATTCACCGAGCAAATAAAATAAAGAAACAAATCTATTTGCCAAAAGGAGCTATCAACCACTCGGCCATCACTCAGAAAGATAATTTCTATTTAATTTATATTCCATCCCATCAAAACATTGACATATAAATATATAGCAACATAAAATCTAAAAGGAAAAATTGTAAAAAAATTATGGCAACATAATTTATTTTATATTAAAAATAAACTATAATATTTGGGGTCAAATTGGTGAAACTTGTTATATTAAAAATTATTAAATAATTTATTTTATATTATATTATATTTTAGAATGTTATCTAGATTCTAAAATGAATGAAATATTCTTTACAAGTAGAACAAAATATTCCTTACAGGGAAACGAGCACGTTTTAAAATTATGAAGTTGAATTATGAGATTTGGGCATGGTACAAGAGGTAGAGTCTATATGCCAGCTACAAGAGAGTGAACTATAAGATTTTCATACCAACCGGAACCTAGTGGTGAGTTTGGGCTCAGACTAAATATCCTAATTATTTTTTTTATAAAATTTATTTCATGAAACTTATTTTCAAAGAAAAAAAAAAAAAAAGGCATGAGAATAGCTTTTAAATTGCAATAATATTTGGCAATAACCAATTATAGGCTATTTGTATGAGATGCAACAAACAAATGAATGGCCACCACCAAAATCTCTCCCTTTTTTTCTCCAACCATTTTAGCCTAAAAATATGAGCAAACAAGCAACTATAAAACACTTCCCCCATCTCCCATTTTCCTCAGACCTGCTCAGATCTCAAGCATTCATCTTGCAAAACAAAGAAGATCCCATCTGCTTATCCAGGCGGGTCTCTCTTTCTCTTTTAATAACATACCCTTTTCTTTCCCTCTTTTCATCTACCCCTCATCGCCATGGCCATCAACAAGCTTACCTGCGCCCTCCTCTTCGCTGCTGCCACCGTGACCGCCGTTGTGGCCTCCACTGAAGCCCCAGCTCTGGCCCCTGGCCCCTCCTCTGATGCGGCTGCTGCTGCTGTGCCTGCTGTTGGAGCCTTCATTGGCGCTTCTGTTGCATCCTTGTTTGCATACTACTTGTAAAAAGTTGAGGGAATGAGGAAAGAATAGGAGGGCCCTTAGGGAGCAATGAAGGGAGATTGTGTAACATGGAAACAGAGAAACTTGTTAAAAGGGTTTTGGTTGATTATTTAACAACAAAAAAATTCTTCAATTATATATTTATTCCTCAAATTTCTTCCATAATTATCTTAATTAGATCTCGTTTCAATTAAATATATTTTGATAGATAATATCATAACATTCAATTAAATATATTTTGATAGGTCGGTAATTTCTACAACATCATAGTATAAGAAATTAAGAAATTTAGAAGGGTTTCCAAATAAATTAAAAACAAGACTGAGATATATAAATATATATATATCTTCTTTGAGTTTAAGCAACTTGAATATGCTGCTGCGGAGCTTCTGTTTGTACTTTCATGTCAAAGATCTATTACTCTCTCCCATCTACACATTCTCCCGCCGAATATCTATTTCTCCATCATCCAACTTGAAAACACTGTGTTCCAATGGCCAATTGAATGAAGCATTGCTGCAAATGGCAATTTTGGGCTCTGAAATGAAGTTCGAAGGTTACGATACGATCTTGAACCAATGCGTTAGCCAAAGGGCTATTAGAGAAGGCCAAAGAGTTCATGCCCATATGATCAAAACTTGTTATTTGCCTCCGGTTTACCTCAGGACGAGGCTGATTGTGTTGTACAACAAGTGCGATTGTTTGGGTGATGCACGGGAAGTGTTCGATGAAATGCCCCTCAGAAATGTGGTTTCTTGGACCGCGATGATTTCGGCTTATTCGCAGAGAGGGTTTGCCTCTCAAGCCTTGAATCTCTTTGTGGCAATGTTAAGATCAGGTACTCATTTCTTTTTCCCGTTCTATTGTGAGATGTATAATCTGGTTTCCTTTCCTTTAGATTTGGCTTTTTGTACTTTTGTTTTATGGATTAAGAGAGTTTCTACGGATACTCTGTTACTCGAGGGGCCCCAAAAAGATTGAACTCCCTCTTCTAGAATTTTAATGACAGATTAGGAATATTATTGGGATGAATCTTAGAAATTAAAGAATTGCATATTGATTAACTTACCCTATTGTCTCGAATCACATTTAACATGTTAATGATAAAAAAGGTCATTTTTTCAGGTACAGAACCAAACGAGTTCACTTTTGCTACCATACTTACTTCTTGCATAGGTAGTTTGGGATTTCAAATTGGTAGACAAATTCATTCCATCGTCATTAAAAGAAACTATGAGTCCCATATGTTTGTTGGAAGTTCACTTCTTGATATGTATGCAAAGTCTGGGAGAGTCCATGAAGCTCATGGAGTTTTCCAAAGCTTGCCCGAACGAGATGTCGTTGTGTGTACTGCTATCATCTCTGGCTATGCTCAAATGGGTCTTGATGTAGAAGCATTGAAGCTATTCCGTCAGCTCCAAAGTGAAGGAATGCATTCAAATTATGTAACTTATGCTAGTGTCTTAACTGCTCTATCCGGACTTGCTGCGCTAAATCATGGCAAGCAGGTCCACAACCATGTCCTTCGGTCTGGACAGTCTTTGAATGTGGTTCTCCTGAATTCTCTAATCGATATGTACTCAAAATGCGGTAACGTCTGCTACGCTAGGAGGATTTTCGATCACATGTCTGAGAGAACTTGTATATCATGGAATGCGATGCTCGTTGGATATAGTAAACATGGCATGGGGGGAGAGGTGCTCGAACTTTTTAAATTGATGAGAGAAGAAAATAAAGTTAAACCTGACAGCATCACGTATTTGGCTGTTTTATCTGGTTGTAGTCATGGACAACTAGAACATAAGGGGCTTGAAATATTTTACAACATGGCTGATGGAAAGGATGGGATTGAACCAGATATTGAGCATTATGGTTGTGTTGTTGATTTACTTGGACGTGTTGGCAGAATAGAAGAGGCTTTTGATTTTATAAGAAAGATGCCTTATGTGCCAACGGCTGCTATTTGGGGATCGCTGTTAGGTTCGTGTCGAGTCCACTCGAACGTCGACATCGGCATAATTGTGGGTCAGAAGCTTCTAGAAATAGAGCCTGAGAATGCAGGTAACTATGTTATTCTCTCAAATTTGCATGCTTCTGCAGGCAAATGGGAAGATATGAGAAATATAAGGGACCTGATGCAAGAGAAAGCTGTGATAAAGGAGCCAGGTCGCAGTTGGGTAGAGCTTGATCAGATTGTTCATACGTTCCATGCAAGTGATCACACTCATCCAAGAAGGGAGGAGGTGGCGAGGAAGGTGAAAGAATTAGCCATTAAATTCAAGGAAGAGGGTTATGTTCCTAACTTGAGTTGTGTGTTGTATGATGTGGATGAAGAACAGAAAGAGAAGGTACTTCTAGGCCACAGTGAAAAGCTAGCTATGGCATTTTGGTTGATTGCTGCTCCTGAAGGAGCAACGATCCGAGTCATAAAAAACCTCCGAGTTTGCGTCGATTGCCATAGTTTTGCCAAATTTGTGTCGAAGCTTTACGCAAGAACGATAATCCTAAGGGACAAAAACCGGTTCCATAATATAGTTGGGGGAATATGTTCTTGTGGAGATTACTGGTAAAAGCTTCCAAGTTAGAAATAGGAATGACTTCTCATCTCTGCTACTACTAAGATTGCAACTATGCTGCAGGCCAGAACACATGAACTGAAGTAGCCTATGATTCAAAGAAGGTGAAGAACAGTTCAAGATCAATATTTAACTCCTAGATTGGAACACCGTGGTGCTGTAGCAAGACATCAAAACTGAAATCTTACGACGAGATTCTCAACTTCGAGATTTTTCTGAACCTATTGAATCCATTAGCGTTCTCATTCACTTGGAGGTTGAAACAAGTTGGGGTGTCTACGGGCAAAATAATCTCCAATAGCTCGAAATCAAGGTGTTTACCAAATGGATACCAGATGTACCAAACGTGGATAGCTAATGGGAACTAAAGATCCCATTTTTAAGTATGTTACATAACAGATCATACATGGAGATCGCACAAAAGAATGAAGACCTCGATCAAAGAATTCTTTTGGACTTGATTCTCATTTATTCATATTTTGATCTACATACAAAATACTCTCATTTGGCAAGACTTCTCATGTTATTGCAAAATTTAATTAAGATCAGATAATCACGAGCCATTCAAACGAAATGAGCGGTTAATATCAAAAGTACAATTCTGTTAACGGTACGCCACTTGTAAAGATCGTCGCGCGGGAAATGGAGAAGGCTAAAATCAGCAAACAAGAAACTTTCGGCGACTGAAAATAAAAAAACTCGATCTTGCAAACACCCATTGTGTTCTTCATCGGATCGGATCGGATCGGATCATATACTACTCAGGCTCTGCGATTCTTGTTTTCACTTGACCTTCTCCTTGAATTTCTATGGCGAAGAAGAAGAAATCTAGGGTTCCTACGGAAGAAGAGGAGGAAGAGCAAGTTGAAACTCCGAGTGAATCTTACACCACTCAGAACAGCCTCTACGAGGTACGGCGTGTGTCTTTTATGTTATGGATGATTTGTGGATTGACACACCATTTTATCTCGACATTCTTTTGCCCTAAAAATGGAGTCGAGTGGCGTTTTCGTGCTTCATTATTTACGGCTTATGGTGGAATTTCTTGTCTTATGATGTGTAGCTTTTGCTTGGGTTGTTAGTTTTGAATCCTTCAATTTTATAAGGTGGAAATCGTTGTTAATACTCAAATTTCTAGCGTTTCTTTACATTTGGTGGGAATTCGCCGATTTTGAGACAAGAACAGAGCTAATCCGATCAATTGATGGCGTTTGTTCTTTTTCTGCGTTTTTTCTTCAAATCTTGTTCTGCAATACCTTGTTAGCTCTCTGGTTCTGTAGGAGTGAAGAAATTCAGCTGCCCATATCAATGAAACAGGAGAGGATCCCAGATTTCTTTTAGCCTTATGAATAAACACTATATCTTACACAAATTTTAGCCTTCTCCTTTGTCACTTTACTGATAGTTGTTCGAACACCGGGATTTTGATAATGAGTTGCAATCGTGTGAGATCCCACATCAGTCAGAGAGTAGAACGAAGCATTACTTATAAGGGTGTCGTTTTAAAATCGTGAGACTGACGACGATACGTTATGAACTAAAGCGGACAATATTGTTAGCAGTGGTCTTGAATTGTTTTTATTGTTCTGAATGTAGCGATGAAACAACATAGGAATTAACTGCATCCCTATAGTGTGTGGTTCCTTCACTTCCTAAATTTGGTATATAATAATGGTTGTAGGTTCTTGGAGTGGAGAGGACAGCTTCTCAGCAGGAAATCAAGAAGGCATACTATAAGTTGGCGCTTCGTCTGCATCCTGATAAGAACCCTGGAGATGAGGTGATGAATGCTAATTTTACATCTGCAAAATTTAATTCAGTGTTTTTAAATTGATTTTTGCTCTATTTTGTAATCATTTGTTTGAAGTTATCTATAGTTGTTTACTTTTTACTTTCATCCCTTCAGGAAGCCATAGAGAAATTTCAGCAGTTGCAAAAGGTTATGTCCATTCTTGGGGATGAGGAGAAGCGTGCAGTTTATGATCAAACAGGCTGCATTGATGATGCTGTAAGTACTCACCTAACTTATACTTTTAGACATTTGTAGTCTACTGATATCGCATGAGGACTTGAATAGTAGATCGATGCATAAGTACGCATCGTATTGGTTCATTTACAGGACACTTCGGAACGTACAATTGAGTATTCAACTTACTATTAGACTTAGTGTTAAAGAATTGCAATCTGATGCCTTTCTGGATTCTTTTCACATCAGGACCTTGCAGGGGACGTTGTTCGGAATCTTCATGAGTTTTTCAGAACGATGTACAAAAAGGTTTCACTTTCACCAAGTAGAAAGATCAATACCTTTATAATATCAATGGAATTAGTTTGTAACTATGTATGGTTAATGGTAGGTCACTGAAGCTGACATAGATGAATTTGAAGCAAATTACAGAGGATCTGAATCAGAGAAGAAGGATTTGATTGATTTGTTTAAGAAATTAAAGGGGAATATGAACAGGTAATGAGAGTGTCTCATAACTGTCCTGTTTTTATGTGCATTTACCAAGTTGCATTCTTAAGTTTCTTCTTCCACAGGATGTTCTGTTCTATGCTTTGTTCCGATCCCAAGCTTGATTCGCACAGATTCAAGGATGTTTTGGATGAGGCTATAGCTAATGGTGAGCATTCATCTTGCTTTTATATTGATGGCTATGTCACCTAGCCTTCTCTTATATTGCTGCTCTAAGGTTGCTATTGCTACTCATTCTAGGATTTGTTTTGTTGATACTTCTAGTACATTTCTTTGCAACCCCCTTCGACGTGATGATGCTAATGTTATCCTTTCTTCCTTGCGTTAGGGGAACTGAAAGTAACGAAGGCCTACGAGAAATGGGCACGGAAAATATCCGAAACAAAGCAACCTACCAGCCCTGTGAGGAAGAGGGTGAAGTAAGTTTTCACTGTGTTTTATCACTTTCTACAACTTCGATGATGGTACTTCGACTTTTATATCAGTCAAATCTCGTCATCTTGGACCGAAGAGATTACTAAATGCTTCGATTTGTTGACAGATCCAATAAAGAGTCAGAAACAGATCTCTATGCAGTAATATCTCAGAGAAGGAATGAGAGGAAAGATCGATTCAATTCCATGTTCTCATCTTTGGTTTCTAAATATGGGGGAGGCGATTTGTCAGAACCGACTGAGGAAGAATTCGAGGCTGCCCAGAAGAAGCTAGAGAGCAGAAAGTCGTCCAAAAAATCCAAGAGGAAGAGGAAGTAAGTCTCTCATCTATGATTGGTAAATTGCTTGATCAATTGTTAGATTCTGTACAAACGTTTTAGCTCTGTGCTACTGAATGACTTTAGAAATGTTGACACAATGGTTTCCATGATGGTTGTTCTTAACCATTTGCAACAAATGAAGAATTCAAATAATCAAAGTCTTCAACAAACCACTATATAGCAACCTCTTAAATGCAGAGTACAATTATTCTATACACATTCTTACAGAAAGAAAAGAAGATACACTTTCAGGATTCAAATAAACCACAAGCTTTCATTCTCTTAAATAACCTGAATGAAAGTTGAAGAAAGAGATGTTACTCACAGTTGATGGTCTGAAATCCAAAGGATTGTTCCACTGTAATGATCCATCATCATCATCAGACCATTTCATATCAACATTTTCGAAACTCAATCCTTCAATGTGCTCCATAATCATACCTGCCATCCCATGTTTAACAAAGCCTTGGCAACCCGGTCTGTAGTCTGCTATACCACCACCATATTTTGTCCATCTTTTGTAGGTCAACTTCACGTTGTTGAATCTCAGATTACTCAGAACTCCGGATTTCGATCCCGACAAGAAAACCCCGTTTTCGGAGGTTGCTGTGATGTTTATGAAGTTTATGTTTGAGATTGAACCCTCCTTCGAGCCTGGATCTCTAGGGCAAGTCGTAACGTAAATTGGCTCTGCTCTTCCCCACCATGAAGGATCATAATATCTTGTACTTATGTTCATGTTTGAGAATGTAATGTCATTTGCACTTCCTACAGGAGAATATGAAGACAGAATTTCTTAATGGGATAGGAAAGGAGTGGAGATTCAAACCATTTCGACCTTTTGGTTGAGAAATTGTCTAAACTAATCGAGTTATCTTCAAGTTGGTAATATAAAAATAGGTTTCATTTGTCTGAATTTCTGTATTTTGCTCTAACCCCACTTCTAAAAAGTTGAAATCTTGTTCTAAAAAGCAGAAAACTGTTTATATATAATGTCTCCAAAAAGACTGAAGTTTGAGCATCACAACTAAGAAGGGAATGAAAAACTGACCTCCATCGCGCAGCTGGAACCCCAGACCTCGATGAGAATCGACAATGGTGATGTTGTCGAAGAGCATTCGGGTGAAATTGAACCAACTGGCGCTACCCAGCTTGATGGCAGAAGATTTGGTTCTAATCCAGCAGTTAGTGGCAGTTAAGTTGAAGACAGGGCCATTAGATGTTTTGGGGCAGATTGCATCATCTCCGGTGTCGATTCTGCACCTTGTAATGAAGGTATTATTGGAGTCTTCAATATCAATCCCGTCGTTGTTTGGTGTATCGAAATCTCCATAAATTGAAACATCTTCGATGATTGTGTTCTCGCATCGAACCAGGTGCAAGCTGCATCAAATTTCACTTAGAGAAATGCAGTAATTATGTAAGAGAGAGGGAGGGAGAGTGTCGCACGCACCACCAGTGAGCAGGCTGATTCAAACTAACATTCGAAACCCTAACATTCTTCGACCCGATGAACCCAATCAGATCCGGCCTGCACTCATCGCCATAGCACGCCCCGGTCTTGTTCCAACTCACCATCACGTTCTTCCTCTTATCGAACTTCTCCACGAATTTCAGCCCCTGCCCATCCACCACGCCTCCGCCGGTGATCTCAACATCGCTCGCGTTCTCCGCCACCACCGCGTACCACCTCGACGAATCCATGGGATAGTCCTCCATCCTCGTTCCGGCCAGCACGGTGGCGCCAGGTTGGATGTCCAATACGACGCCGGATTGAAGCCATATCGTCGCGGTCAGGTAGGTACCCGGCGGAAATATAACGTAGCAGCGGACCGGCGAGGGGCAGTTGTTAATAGCGGACTGAATCGCTGCAGTGTCGTAGTGGACTCCATCGCCGATGGCTCCGAAGTCGGTGACGGAGAAAGAGGTTGATCCGCCGGGAAGTCTGATTGAGGGAACAACGCAGTGTGAAAGGATGATGAGAGAGAAGAAAAAGAATAGAATTGCCATTGGACGTTGATTCATCTTCATCTCTTGATTCTGATTTTTCGTTTCCCTTTTAGTTATATTATTATTTTATTAGAATTCTTCTTTTAAAGAAAAACACTCCGGTCCATACTTGGTGGGCGGATAATGGATTACGTTAGATTTCATTAAGATCACCGAAGAAATTCTTAGTTGAATCGATGGCGTTCGGTTTTGATATCATCAAGTTGTGTGTTCTTCATCTGAATATTGGGAACAACAAAGATGGGAGAAAGAGTAGCAATAACAATCAGTAGAATTTTAGTCTGACAGTCTTGAGTATTGGCTTCAATCAAAGCAGCCTCCAAATTAGTATACACATTAAAAATTTAGATACCAAATCAAATTCCTCCCGGCTTCGTCTTCTTCGTCGTCTTCTTCGTCGTCTTCTTCCCCTTGAACACCCAGTTGAACGTGGAGGCAGATTCTCTACTTCTCTGCTTACTCCTATCACTATTAATATATTTCCCCCTATATACACTGCTGCTACCTACAACTAAAATATAATGCTGCCTTCGCGCCTCCATCTTCAACTGATTTTGAGCGTACGGTTGCTGTTTCATACATAGTTAAATTGGTCAGTGTATTACAAAATAAGGTCATAGAGTAAGAGTTGTATACCTGAATTTGCTGAAGAGTCGTAACTTAAAAGAGAGTTTTCAGGAGTGCTGAAAGTATGAAGGTTATGCTCGTCCCTCGCCCCGGCTAGCTGGTTAACTACTGCTGCATCAAAATGCCATTGCTGTTGATATTGTTGTCTGCTTCCACTTGGGGAGATTTCTGACCACATCAATGGCGTAACCATGGTTGGAAGGTTGCTTTCGTGTACGGGTTCGTTCTGAGATTTCAGTAAACGATAACACGACGTTAAATCTCAGTCGCTAGTTCACAGAAAGTTGACAAAGAAAAAGAAGCAGATGCGCTGATATACTTACTTCTGCAGCCAATATGCTATCAATGTTGAAATCAACTCTGGGGTTAACGGCTGCAAGCCTCATTGACAAGAACTGCAACACAGCAAGTTCAACACAAGTTGGTTGATATATAAAAAGAAAATAACTACTGAAAATTATGCATATTGGCTCTCTCTCTCTCTCTCTCTCTCTCTCTCTCTCTCTCCTATTTTGAATCGAGGAACACGCAAGCTAGTCCGAACAATCATCGATAGAGCCACCGAAAAGAACAACTCCAGGAGCTGACATACATAAAACAAGGTACATATACGTATTCTTGTCGAGCTTATACATTTCTATCTACCCAGTCGTATCATATACGTATCATTCCAGAACGAATCTCAAAACGTTTAAGTAAGATTCTGACCTCCACTTGACGCTGCAGCGATTGTACATGGTTGATGATTTCATCCAACACTAGAGCTGTACCTGAGATCTACAGAGACACAGAGGAAGGAAGAAGACAAATAAAGAACTCAGTTTCTAACTTGCAGACTACTTCATTACATTTGATATGAATAGAAAAAGAACAGTTCAGTGCTTAACGACGACATCTAATCTTCCTCTCTCAACTACTGAATCTTCATAAGACTATAATGTTCATTAAACTACACGGTACATTACAAACGAGTCGGGGTCAGTCTCAATCTGTTTATTTCAAAACGTCTCGTAATTCTTCGACTCACTCTATCGTGGCTATTCACAACTCTGGGATGCATATCTTTTTCTAAAAACGCTCACATTTTCCACGTCCTCGAGAAGTTAGGTGAGGAAGTTGCTGTTCTGTCATCCCATATTTGCATCCAGTTTATGATGGATGCCTAACTTAAAATAGATGGAAAATAGCATGGACCCTCAAATGAGTACCAACAACCCAACAAGCATATGGGACCCCTTCTGATTCCCCCAACTCCTTCAAGGTAAGTCCAGCTTGCATTCCTTTGGAACTAAATTTCCCAGCCAATCAAAGTGAAAATTGCTGAGATTTCAAGCAATCTCTATGAATATAAGAAATATTAAGCGAACATCGTGCGAGTAGAATACACGATAAAGTTGACTGCGAACTTTTACTCATTTGAGCTCTTCCCGAACCAAAATAAACAAATAACATCTAACTCCATCTTCCCGGAATTCGAATTTTTGACCTTTTGATCGAGAGTATATGTCAATTACCATTGAACTAAGCTCACATGGGTAGAATTCAGATTCTCGAGAGATGGTCGAGAGAAGGTAAGAAAGGAAAGATGAAGAAAAAGACCTACTGGGCACTTCCCTTGGCTCAAAAGCAACCACTTTATTACAGAAAAGGTGACAATGACAAGAACCGTTATTAAAGTTCATAATCCAAGAACCATAATTCCACTTTTTGGCAGACAATTAGAGAGAAATCATAATAAAGCTCCACAGATTGAATCAAAGAACATTTAATTATGATAAAGACTGCATAACTACGAAGACTACTGACCTTATTGCATCCAGGGACCAGTTCTTGAAGTAGCTTCATCCGAGCATTGATTTTCTCTCTCCTTGCCTTTTCAAACCAAAAGGGAATGAAGTGTTAATTCAGCACAGTTAATCAGACTAAATTTGATAATCAGATCTTAAGTACTGATTAATTAAGAAAATTACTCGCTCTGCTAGGCTATGTTTGTCTGTCGCTTGACCACGGCCGGCTCGGACATGAACGTACGGGAGCTTCTCTGCATCTTCCTGGCTCTCGTTCTTGCTCTTCTTTGATGACCCTTTTCCCTGAATTGGTTAAAGATTGTAATTGATTGAAATTCAGACATGGAAATTGATGTAGAAATCAAAGCCCTAGGTTTCTTTGTTTTTGTTCTTTTGAAATTTTTTATTATCGGTTACCTTTTTCTCGCGCTCCTTCCTCTTCACCGATCTCTGATTCGTGTTGTTCTCCACCGTCGGGTCGGAGATTTTCGGATACAAGTGATTAGGGTTCGAATCGGTTTCAATGGTGGGCTCGTTCTTCACTTTCTCCAAACTGACGCTCGAATTCAACGGCACTGAACTCGTCGTCTCCGGCGAGTGTTCTTCAGCCACGACAGAGAATTTGGCGTCGTGTTCGTTTAGAGGCGAGTTCGTCGGGAAGGTCAAATTGCAATTTAAGGCACTGAAGTAGGGTTTCGGAACGTCTTTGACACGGTAGTGAACGGAATCATCCTTCTTAACCTCCGCGGAATCCGGCGAGTGGAGAAGCTCTAAAGCCTGCGTTGCCGGAAGTTCAAGAAGCGCGGTGAAGGAGCTAGCATTTTCCGACGGAATCGTCATCAACCCCTGAATTTCTTCACAGAATTGATGCGATTCAAGTCCAGTGTAATTGAACTGACGCCCGATGGGACTGGATCCACCAACAGTCCCCACTTCAATCTCCATTTACAGTAACAACAACTTCACAAATTCCCCTTCACCTTCACCAAATTCGGAGCAAAACCCAGCTCCTCAAATGTGGGATTACAGAGCTAATCGATCAATCAGAGGGGAAATGGAGGGGAATGAAGGAAAAGGAAACTATCTTCAATGGCAGCCAATCTACCTTCTTCTTCCTCTTAATAATCAGTCGAGATTACTTCTGGAACCCATTTGAAGTATGGCGAAAGCAACGTTGCTTGATGGTACCGTTCAACTTGGAGTGCATAATTATACGCAAAACGGAGTTTTGTTTACAAAGATGAGAGAAAAAGAAGCAGAGAGAAAATGGTTTCTACGGATTTTACCCTCTACAGTTCTTCCTCTGATGATATAGACTCTCGGATGGACCACCAACACAATTTTTTGTCCCTTTTTTTATTTATATATTTCATCTCTTTTTCTCTCTATTTTTAGCCACTTACTTTTGGATTACATTTTTTCTATGGATCAAACGAGATGAAATTTTTGTAATGAGATTTGTTTTGGATAAGGGGAGGATGGTAATTTTCATCGGCTGATTTGGAGTGGAAAAGATAGAGCGTTTTAGGTTTTGATTTTAAGTTAACGGACGAGACGAGAGAGGATGAAAGAGAATAATTTAGATGTTATGCATAATGTCAAATCCTAATTTCGGTTTATATAGTTAATCCTTACAAATAATTGAAATTGCTACTTAACTAAGTATCCCCTCCACTAAAAAGAAAATGAGCGTTATTCTCTTTATCAATCAAGTTATTTCACTCCATTGTCAGATGGCTTCTCAACACTGCTACAGAATCGTTTCACGAGGGGAAGAGGAGGGGCAGCATTAGCAGAACCTCGATCAAGGTAAACAATACAAGTTAAGTGTATAAACAACCTTCAGAGTCCTTTTATAAAATCATCTTTTACTTGATATACTAGGTTGGTGATCGAGTCCTTCAAATTATAAGCAAAACGTTAGGTATTCTCTTTTGGGCTGTGCATTAGAGATCATGTGCCCGCATCTTATTTATACTCAAACCTTTATCAACCTAGATTCACCCACATAAGTGAAAACTGGTCGAGGGTTGTTTGTGGCTAAATCCCACGTGCCTTTGTTTTTATTTAAATAATTTAACTCTTCGTGATAGCACGTTATGAAATGTGAAACATTTTAATTAATTAATGATGATATTTTAATGTTATATTAAATTTATTTGATGAAATATTATATTAAATTTTATTTTATGAAATACGGTTGCTAAAATGATATTTTAAATAATTATTTATTGAATTTAAAAAAAAATGAAAATTTTATATTGATGGAGAATTTGAAAGAGATGTGAGATAGTGTGGGATGGGATGGCACTATCAAATGAGCTGTAGTCATCATTTCAAGTGGCTCCCACCAAAAAATTAAACTAACAAAATAATAATATTACCAACAATATTTTTTTAATTTTCTCATCCTAATTTAATGCAACCTTTTATTTTCTCTATTTTTTTTTTAAAAATATAAATAAGAAAATAGTTTGAATAATAATAATAATAATAATATGTAATTGAATTTGGTTGGGTACGTATTTGTGAGGATAGGGAAGCAGCGGCCAAACAGAGTACAAAGACTTCCGCTTTAAATAATAATGAAATGTCGTCCGTTTTTAGGCCCATTAGCCCATTCTAAGGGCCCACTTCATCCTTATGGGCCCACTTCTCCTTTTTGGGCCCACATTTTATATTATTTATGGATGATTAATAAAATTGAAAGATAATAACCTTATAACTGAAGGATGGTTTTTATAAATTTTCCCAAAAACATTTATTTCATTTTATTAATTCCTTATTAAATAACCATACATTAAATAAAAAGAGCAGAGGCTATTGGGCCCGAGGTCCGACAAGTGGTGTGAAGTGGTGGGCCGAGATGTTGGGAGGACCAGTTTCAATGGGCCCATAGCTGAAGACGTAGACTAAAGTAGGGGTGGGCCCATGTTCCAGTCTTTTATATATTTATTAAAAAAACCAATGATTAATAAGTGAAAAATAGTGACATATGGGGAGTTGAGGTAGAAGTAGATAAAAGTAAGCTGTCTGAGATATGTCGTCTATCTTTCATTTATGTGTTGTCCTTTTTTTTTCTTTTTTTTTTTTAATTTCTTTCTCTTAATTTTTAATAATTTTTTTTTAATTTACGGAGGCGTGTGACTACTTGGATTATGTGCCATACTCATCATTGGACGAGTTAACTCATGCAACACCAACGAGCACCTCGATAACGAGGAACCATAAATCTAAAAGGTAAAACATGAGTTGAAGCCCTATATATAAATAAAGTTGAGTATTCCGATGGATCACAAGTACTAAACTATTATTTAAACTTAAGTTTAGCTTCGACGTAAACCTAATAATCGTAGAACAATGTTCGGAGATAAGTTAAATTGTACTACCTTCCACAAATCGAATCACTCAAACCTACATCATGACTTTTTCTCTGGTTTTAGGTTAGGGTTAGATCTACTTGTTGGGTGTCAATAGCTCAACTAATTTGCTCCAATTAATGTACCTTACAACGTCTATGATAAATTATTTTCACTAATAATTATTTAAAAAATAATGATGCAATATCAAAATTATTTTTTTAAACTTACCATATAGATTAATTCGTAAATTAACAAAAAAAAAAAAAAAAAAAAAGGTGTAATTCTTTTTCCCCTTGAATTTCGGCAACGCATAAGCAATAATAAATAATAAATAAAACAAATGAAAAAGAAAAAAGGAAAAGAAAGAAATAGAGGGTAATGGGCCCAAGGGAGGCAACTAGTCAAGGTAAGTGGTGGGCCAGGAAGTGGGCCGACATGTAGGGAGTACCAGTTGTAACGGGCCCGCCCACACTGAAGTTTTATTTATTTATTTTAATTAAATTTTTTTATATAAATAAGTAAAATATAGTGAGTTATGTCATCTCTGCCAAACTTGTCCACTCTCCCAGACTATATATACTATACAGCTACACTCCCCTATGCCTACATTTTTGTCCATCTAATTTTGGTGTCGTTCGGGCCTATTAAGATATTTGTTTGGACTTAGGCTTAGTTTCGACGTAGGGCTAAGTAGCCTAGAACACCGTTTTTTTAATGCGAAGTGTCACAGTTATGCTAATCCAAGCCTACCTTTTATCATATACGTCGACCAAGAGCACTATGGTCTACTCTAGAGCCACTTACAAATTTATGACATGGGTCGAAACGAAATGACTAAACCTATTTTGACATCAGATATAAGATATTCAGTAACGTCACATGACGGATTCTCGTTGAAATGGAAATTGAAATTTATTTATAGAATAAAATAGGGTGTATTAATTCACAATATTTGACTAAGGAACACTAAAGTTTTGATATACTGACCCCTTGATGTGCAGGAATTTGCAAAGCATCGTAATGGCCAAAACCATGGTACAGAACTGTGATGGGATTTTGTTTGCCATATTCATCGCCATATTCGGCAATGGATATCAACCCACCAGAAGCTTTATCGTACATGTACACTATGATAGGTGCACTGCAGCAGCAACCACAGCCTCCAATCTTAACAAGCAATTCATTCATATACCACAGTAGAGAAACAAGTATTGAGAGGAAGCGCTTACTGAAGAATATGAGAAGCCATGAATAGCTCAGGCTCGCCTCCCCATACGCGTGGTTTTCGCATATTAGACACGTACAAATCGAAATCGCCTTCAATGAACCTATTGTCAACACAGGCAGGATGTTATTGAACCTCATCTTGTTCTATACGGTAGAGATAGTTTAGTCATTGAACTTTTAAATTTGTGTCTAAAATGTTCTTGGACTTTAAAATGTGTTTTGATAGATCTTTAAACTTTAAAAATATCTAATAAGTTCCTGAACGTTCCTCACAAACTTAACATTCTTTTTAAGAGAGACAGAGACAGAGAGAGAGAGTCACCATTCTGTTTCCTCTCGTCTTTTGATAAACTCATCTGCAACCTGAAAAGAAATTGGTCTGAAATATGGATTCTTGTCACCATGGTATTCTCTCAAAAACAAACTAATAGAACTTACTTTAGTCCGCAACTCATCTGCCAACTCTCTCTGAAGGTTCTGGCTTGGAGCTGGTTTCCCAGATCGTAAACAAGCACCATGAGCGACCGAGCGGAACAAACATCGTCCATCTCCGGGAATTCCTGCCCAGAACAAACAATTTGCTACAATCAATTGTCGATTTGACCGTTTAACGTAAAAGAAGACGTAGAAGGCTTCAAAGCTCACCTATAACAGAATACTTGGTGTAAACCTTTTTTCCATGAGAGAGTTTGACATGAGAAGAATCAGAATTTTCTTCATTATCCTCTTTCTCACAAGCTGCTTCAGCATGGACTGGTTCAGAAGTTGAATAACAAGCCATCAGATGCACATCTTTCTGGCCATCGTATGTTATATTTGATCATCATTGGGGATTGAGAGTTTCATATTCATACCTTTGCATGATAGTGAAATTTCAAGTCCTCTTCCACACAACCCTTCATCTGTAATCAAATCTTTAAAAGACTTCAACTCAATTGGCTGTCTGGAGAAGCAATAACTGAGACAGCCTCCCTGAAATCTCTGGCTAGTATTTGGTGAACAAGATGACATTGTGGAGATGGTTTGATCCGAACACTTTGGTCTTGAAATGCCATAGGAACAGCAAGAGTTCGATGTCCTTCGAGACAGCACGGTACAAATGTTGCTGCCCATCTGTGATCGAACACGGAAGTTCAGAGGGACAACATTCCTCGTGCAAACGCTTATTGAGCCAATAGGCATGCTGGTGTAGCCTGAGAAATTAACAGAACAAAGAAAGAGGAAACAAGTCAGAAATTGAAAGCATTCCATAATTTGGACCAAAAAATTTGAACGCCCTTCTTTTATCTCTGATGCTTAACATGAACAAACCAATGCTGGTATATCATCTATAGCTACAATGGCCAAAGAAGTAGCTATCTAAATTCGCTGAAAGTAACAATGAAGTATACGTGTCGATATATCGTGGAGTTGGAGCCCCTAATCATATGATAGGGATGCCTCTCGTATATTTAATTACACTCCTTCAGCAAATAATTTCCAAGTTGGAATTGTTGATGATATCCCCTTTTTAATTTCCTTGAACAGTTTTGATCTTAGTCACAGGAAAGCCCTCCTATAAATACAAGGATGTATACTTACTCTGAGTCAACGAAAAATCGATGTTTACAAAAGCATTAACATACGCTACTTCTACTAGTGCTGGACCTTGAGTCAAATTGATTGTGTGTCATGTGCAACGTCCATCGATGATGGTTCATTAATGTCCATTGA